TTTTTTTTATTTTTTTTTTTTTTTTTTTTTTTTTTTTTTTTTTTACATCCTTTAATTTAGATGGACAAAACATTTCCTGGTTGCTGTGAGCTCTGGAAGTTCCCTGGGTGCTCGCTATCTGCAGCTGGCCCAGGGCAGCTGCTGGCAGAGCACTGTCCCTCTGGGGCTGAGCAAGGCAGCTCTAGGGCGGCCTTTGCATTTGGGAGAGCTTCAAAATGTCTGCTAAGGTAGCATTTACCATAGTAAAACCCTTTCTAGGTTTTCCTTCATCAAATTACACTGGCAAGGAAACAGTGTTAAGTTCTAAGTTAAGGGGAATAAAACTCCAAAGTGAGTGATTTCAGGAGCAACAGTTTTTTCTGCATGAATTTCCTGGCATCTGAGCATGGTGGAATTCACGTTCTTCCGCAAAGACCCCTTGGTGAGGGCGTTTCCACAGAGCACTCGTTCTCCTTAGAGAAAAAGGAACCCATCCATGTGTTTTCTTGCCCTCTGCCAGGTTTGGCTGAAGCTGGCCATCCAGCTCAAGCAGCCTAGTGTGCAGACTGCAGGGACTGCTTGAATGCTGCATTCGAAAGTTTGTTTTTCATAAATTGAAGCAGAAACATTTGTTTTCAATTTCTACTCCCTGCTCCCCCCTGGATGTAATGACAAGTGAAAGCTCAGAGTACGAGGCAATGCGATGGGGAAACACATTTTTCCCCTAGCTTTGCATAGCGCTGCTTTGCTTGAGGAATGAGGCACATGCTCTTCATTATCATATGGTGTGCTGGGCTGCATGCAGAACTGTAATGTGGCAGAGGATGGAGCTGTGCTGGTGAACAGGGCACGGTGCTGCTTGTCTGTGGGAGGCTGTCCCATCACGAAGGGGAAAGACTGATGTAGTTTGTGCTGTGCTTGGATTTGGGGATGGGGATGTTGCTGCATGGGAGGGATGTGTTGTGTCAGTGTAGCAAGCTCGTGGACACACTGAGCTTTGTAAACTTGCAGGTTCTTCCATTTACAAGTCTTGCCTTTAGTCTATTTAGCCAGGAGTTAAGGTGCAGGCGCCCCTAGCAGCCCTGCAGCTGTGGGATGTGTGCCATAAGGCTGCAGCGTCCCACAGAGCGCTGACTGAGCCCTGTTCACAGCCAGAGAACACTGGAGGAGAGCTGAAGGACGGGCAGCACCACTACGAGGGAGCTGTCGTCATCCTGGATGCTGGTGCACAGTATGGGAAGGTCATCGACCGCCGGGTGCGTGAGCTCTTCGTCCAGTCCGAGATCTTCCCCCTGGAGACGCCCGCCTTCGCCATCAGGGAGCAGGGCTTTCGGTAGGTGCTGGTAGGGCAGCTGCCTGCTGGTGCTGTGCTGTGCCTTCCCCTGGGGTTGTGCTGTGCTGTTGGATCCTCAGCTCATCCTCCTGGGTTTCGCTGGGTAAAACCTGTGCAGCAGCGTCACTGTTGTCTATTTGCTGCTCATTGCGGTGTTGTAAAATGTCGCTTCAATAATTTTTCTTTGTTAATATAACTTAAGTGGCTGCATTTTAATTATGTATCTGCAGAAAATTAGATGACAGTGTTCCTTAACCTGTTAAACCAGGGTAGTTATTGTATAATTATGGAAAAAAAACCAACCTATTTAACTGCAACTTGAGTATTGAACAAATTGTCGTAAATGATGCCAAACCATTTCTGGGAAGTAACAGGAAAAAAAAACCTCATTGGAAGTGCCATGCATTGTTAGCAGCAAGAAACCATCTCGGTTGTGTAGAACTTTGCACAGTTCTTGTTTTATGATGCTTGCCAGAGTAAGCCTCTTTTTGTGTGGGGGAAATAAATCGGCTGAGGTCTGCAAGTCATCAAGGACTTCACTTGTCAGGTTAAAATTTGGAGGTGCTTTGAGTGTTTTTGCTAGAGCCATTCAGGAGATAAAGCGGTGCTGTGTTGCAGAACTGTTTTTCTAATCGATGATAATTAGTGACTCAATAGGCAGTGTGTTTTAGAAAGTCAGATGGGAACTCACTGATCTCTTCTGCAAACTGAATGGAGAACCCAGGAGCTGCTGCACCTGTCAGGCAGCCTTTCTATGAAGAATTTCTTTTAGAAATGCTCTGAAATATACATTGTGTCAGATTTAGTTAATGATTCCCCAACAGGCAAGCTGTTGGAGCAGAGGATGTACCTAACTACCACTTTAAAAAGCATCCCTGCACCTCATTGCTTGCTTCCAGGTGTGGATGGCAGTGCTGACAGTGAGGGGCTCAGAGCTGCGCTCTGCTGCTGCACGTTTGCAGTGAGAGAGCTTTTTTTGTCCCTTTCTGTTCTGAGTTGAAAATTCTGCTTATCCTGATTAGAGCTGTTGGATTTGTCATTCCAGATAATTGCTCTCTAAATTTGGGCTCTCCACTCAACAGGTTGCTCCTCAAGGCTGAGGCAGTGATTCCAGCTTATCAGTTGCACCCATCAGTCAATAAATGTCCCCACTGCTGGTCAATCATTTGCATCCTGGAGAGCTCTACAAACACTGAGTTTAGCTGCTGGGTGCCTCTCTGCAGTGACCATTGTAAAAGGAAGCTCATGGTTTTACTGCAGGGTTTTGATGAAGCTCCACGTGCCGTGGGAACAGTCTGGTTTCCATATCACAGTGCATGGCATCAATGATGAAAATTGAGTAGTCCTGGGAGCTGTGCTGAGGCCTGAGATAGGCAGAGAGGTGGAAAGCACTGCCGAGTTTTATTTGCGTGTTGCATTTACAAAGGCATCTCTGCAGCTCCTGCAGGTGCAGAACACTGGCACAGGGTGCCTGGTCCTGTAAGGACGTACTGTGTTGTGTCTGGGGGCATTAGTTTGTAGGCTTGGCAACATTTCTGACCTCTGGGACCTGAGGGCTGGGGAGCAACGGCTGTGTTTTATTCCTGGTGTTTTGCTGTGGCTCCTGTGGGATTGTAGCCCATTATAAACAGGCTTTCTGAAACCTGCATAGGCCGCTTTGGAAGTGGTTTAAGCTAAACCAGAGCAAGGTGTATCTGTAGCAGAGCTAGAAGGCACATCACAAATTACATGGTCGTGCAATGGAACATTCAGATTCTGCATTCTGTGCTGCAGGAATGTGAGGACAGCTGAGAAGATGCGGGTCATGACTGGCACTGGCTTTCTTCCTGTTTTCCTCTCTCATCTCCCAATTCATTTTGTATTTTAAGGGTTCAGATACAGGAAATCTTTCTGTGTTCTTGAGTTCTTAATTGGCAAGTAAGAGAAGCAGACTTGAAGCCTGTAATTCTCTTTTTTAAACAAGGCAGTAGCTAATTGACTTCTCATTAAAAAACACTTAGTCTATAGGTGTAGCTACGTTTTCCTTATTCTATATGACTTGGTGCTCCACATGCATGGCTCTGAGCAGATGCTCTGCACAGTCATGGGGTGGCTGAGGTGGGTCACCCCGGGTCTCTGCAGCCCGGCCCCTGAGCTGCTCTCAGCCACTCCTGCACATCCCCAGCAGCACCCCAGCCCTCCTTGCTCCTTCTGCAGCTCCAGCCCAGCAGTGCTGCTCTCACAGCTCCAGAAACACAGGAGACTCTTTCTGAGCGTGGCTCTCCTCCAGATGGCACAGGCAATGCGCAGTGTGTTTGTGTTGCAACGCTAATGCTCTGTGCTTGATTCTCGCCATCTTGCTTCTCTTGTAGTCAGCATTTGGCTGGGAATGTGAAATGCAGCCCTGTTTTAAGTTGGCTTATATTTGACTTTGTTTAACCTGATGAAATACTTCTCTTGTAAACTGTTTTTGCTAGCTGTAGCCTAGCAAACCTAAACTGCCTGCTGGAAAATCTGTATTAGCATTTAATTCAGAATATGCAGAGTTATGAGCATTATAAGGCAATGTCGGTGTTCAAATGAAGTTGTTAAATGTGAGATAATTTGATTATCTCTTGTCTGCAGAGCTATCATCATATCTGGAGGACCAAATTCTGTGTATGCTGAAGATGCACCATGGTTCGACCCAGCAATATTTACAATAGGAAAACCAGTTCTTGGGATCTGCTATGGCATGCAGGTATGGTGGAGGGAGAGATGTTTGCCTGTGAAAGCCTTGTTGCTGCAATTAGCCAGAGTTAAGTGCTACAGGACCAGCTTTCCAAAATAAGCAGTGTTGTGTGCCATGAATGCAAAAGATATTTTTAAGGTGCTAATTGGTAAACTGAGCATGCTGTGTTACCAGCAGCATAAATGCTTTTCTTCTTGCTTTGCTACTGTGAACTGAGTTCTGCGCTCAATTTTTTTGTCATAATAAATGCACCCTGACAGTCATTAACTAATTCCATCTGGTTGATATTAGAGAACGTGTCCATCATAAACAGGTGAAGTAGTTTTTCCCTTTGATTTTCAAGTGTGGAATCTTTCTATTATAGCTCATGAGCGTGCTTTGGTGACCCTGCAGTGATCTAGTGATCCAAATGGAGTGAAGAACCACTCCCATGGGGACAAAGGACAGATCAGATGCATGACCTCTGCACGTGCATCTTGTTTTTTTCATGAGGTTAGCAGTTTAAAAGCCTTCAGAGGTGCAGAGTATGGCTGGAAAAACTACTCAAGAAGGGCTGGTAATTATGGAAACAATGCTGGCACTCCCTGTTCTAAAGGGAAATGTGTGTTGTAATAAAGTGGAAGTGCCTTAAAATGTCAAGCAAATTAAAAACCATGTTAGCTAGCCTAAAGCAGGGGCGTTCCTCAAGGCTGACTTTACAGAACTGAATCAAGTGTCTGTGTTAACACACCACTACTTTTATTAGAATAGATTGGAATCAGACTAGCACAGCCAGTGAAATATCAAACTGAATCTAAAATAACTTAAATCTCTGAACCAATGTAGTTAGGAGGTGAAAATCTGAAGTGTGTGTGTTTGTTACCAGTCATATCTGAAGGAAAAAATCTGAGACTTCTGAAGTGTGAAATGCAGAATTCCTCACCTTGCCTTTTGAAGTTGAATTTTAGAAAGAAATAATCAGGTGAGATTTGTGCTACTCTTACCTAACAAGGGCTAAGAAGAGTCTCTGTGGTCACAAAAATCAGACTTAAGTTTTTGCCTGGTTCTCCAGAGGTGATCAGGCAGATCTCAAGAAGGTTAAGCCTATGTGAGGGCCCTTCTCTGAGGGCTGGCTGTCAGGTTTTTGTTTAGCAGCTTATCTGTCTTTGTGGCAAATGGCCTCAGATACTCCACTGATGTGCAGAGCAGTCATTTAGAAGTACGCATTGATTTACAGTACTGAATATGTGTTGTCTTGTGCATCTTTGCCCCTTGCCTGCTGCTGTGTATTTCTGTTACTCAGTGTGTGTAGCAGTACTCCCCAGCTATGCTGACAAAAGGCCAGAGGAAGAGAATGAGCCCAGTGCTCCTTTTTGAAAAGAATTCTTATGGTTTTGCCAAGTGCTATTTAAAATGAGGATAGTCATGAAAATCTGTCTTTCTGTGTGTCCAAGGACTGGAACTATTTGTTGGTCACAGGCTGAAGTACAAAGATTAAAGCAGTACTAAGTAGCCATGCTTTTCTCATGTCGTCTTTGTGTTTTGGCAGATGATGAACAAGGTGTTTGGAGGTACAGTGCACAAGAAGAGCGTCAGAGAAGATGGAGTGTTCAACATTACTCTGGATAACACGTGTTCACTGTTCAGGTACATGGATGCTTTGAGTTAGGAGAGCAGTATTGGGAAGGGAATGGAACTGGTCTGGAAACTGGTGACTGAGTGACAGGAAGGGTGTTTTTCAGGAGACAGTGAAATTGCATCCAAGCTCTTACAATTTCTAATAACCCGTTACAACTGTGTTCATGAGTAGGCAAGTTATGTATGTAAGCAAATATTCAGGAACAACTTCTCAGTTGACTTTTGAAATGTAGGTATGTTTGTTTAGAATTTTATATAAATCCTTTTATTTCAAAGTAAATTGTCTTAATTGAGTTGCTGTCAAGTACTGCTGCACCAAAGTCTGCGTAAAGCTCTTGTGTTCTCCTTGGCAGTGCATTGCTTTATGTTAGCTGGCACCCATCCAGTTTCTGAAAGGTAGTAACAGTAATTTTGAAACCACATGTGTTCTACCTTCCTTCAAAATTGCTTTGTGATGTTTTATAAAATCAGAATTAGATTTCTTAGTAGTTTGTCAGTGCCTCACGAGTTCCTTGCAGTAATCCTAATGGTTTAGTTGTGCCCAGAGATACAACTTTATTGACTTCTTCCCTGTAGAGCTATTGTAGGACTTTATATCCCACCTCGTGTCTAGAATGCCCAGAATTGTTCTGAGGACATTCAGATTTGACCAAGGAAACTTCACTTAATTGGAATAAAAAGCAGGAATCCAGATATCCTGACTGGCAGTAGATGGCTGTACGTGTCAGAGAGGGCATATTTCAACGTTGAGTTATTTTAAAAACAGCAAAAACAAACAGTCCCCATCAAATTAGCAAAAACCTTCTGAGTTGAGATACACTCCTCTTTTTGTGATGAATGCATTGCGTGGAAGCTTTGGCAGCTTCCAATGAAGGAGTCCCAGATGGAGGTGAGTGCTTCTGGGAAGGAAATCCTGCATGTATTTAAAAGGGGCCTGGTTGTTTTTGGAGCACATCTCCAGGGGGAAAGAAGAAATCCCAACAAACCACCCACGTTGTGTCGTTAGCACGAGGTAAGGTATTTGAGGATTGGTGTTGCAGGTAGCTGATTTGTGTGTGTGTGTGTGGGCTCTGTAAGTGAGAGCACTGTGAAAGCTTGATGTGTGACTTTGTCACATTTACACTGCAATGTATGGCACTCTCTTTAAATCTGGCCATCTTATTGTTATTGATTCTAGACTTTAATCTTTGTCTAGGGGCCTTCAGAAGGAAGAGCTTGTGCTCCTCACTCATGGGGACAGTGTGGATAAGGTTGCTGATGGATTCAAAGTGGTTGCACAGTCTGGGAACATTATAGCAGGTATTTTTTAACTGAAATTGGTTTTTTGATGGTCTTTGTTACAAGACTTAAAAGTTACCTGCAGGATGTCATGGGAAAATTTTGTTTTTTGTCAACTACTCAAAGTTCTGAATACCAGGCAGCCTCTTTGAGAGCCTTTCCTGGTAGGTGGAAGATATGGAAGAGTCTTAAGTTTGCTCAAACACTTAGTAAGATTTCAAGCTGTTCATGTGAGTTAATGAAAATCTTTCATTAAAAAATAAAGAGTCAGCAATGTTTTACATCCTGCTCTTAAATCAGACCAGTAACTAATTAGAGAAATTCTGGACAATGTCTGTGAATTGTATAAACTGACTTTTTGGATTAATGACGTTAAAATGGCAACTTCTTTGCTTCTGAAAGAAATGAGGCTCTGGTAACCTGGAGTGGCAATGAGAAGCATGGATAGCTTAATAATATCAGATCTTCTCAACTTCCTGGGAGGTTCAGTAATACTGAGGGAGCAGAGATCTGCTACAGATGCTGATGTTACTCGTTATTTCTAGAAAATAAATGAATTGCACTTTTTTGAATGACTTCCTGGTGAAACTCTGTGATGCTTCAACTTGCCTTTTGTATTTTAACCTTCTAAAAAGAACATGCAGCTTTAAAAATAAAGCTTAGTGCATTTGGAGCAAATGTTCATTTTGCTGTGTATGCACACTTCACATCCAATTATTTTCGTTCGTTCATTTCTTTGCACCAATGAAGGTATAGCAAATGAGTCTAAAAAACTCTATGGAGCACAGTTCCACCCTGAAGTTAGCCTTACAGTGAATGGAAAAATGATCCTGAAGAATTTTCTGTATGATATCGCGGGATGCAGTGGGACCTTTACAGTGGAAAACAGAGAACTTCAGTGCATTCAAAATATCAAAGAGAAAGTGGGCTCATCAAAAGTTCTGGTAAGCATCTGGATCTGAAGTCAAAAGATCATTTGCAAAAATCTGAGGAAAAACACTCGTGCATTTAGTCTGGCTAAGTGGAAAAGTGCAGAATTGTCATGATTTGGGTAATACATTAAGCAGGTTTGAGAAAGCTTTTGTGCATTGCACAATTGGGTCAATGTGTTGTTTGACTTCCCAGTGGTGACTTGGAGGAAAATGAGAAATCAATACTCTGCTTTCATCGTTGCAGCTGTATCTGAATTAGTAGTTAATACTTTTCTCCCTTGACAGCTCTGCAAGTCTGTTTTTTTCCCTTTTTTTCTCATCCTCAGGTTTTACTCAGTGGAGGTGTGGACTCAACTGTTTGCACTGCTCTGCTGAATCGTGCTTTAAACCGGGATCAGGTGATAGCTGTACATATAGACAACGGATTTATGCGCAAACGAGAAAGTCAGTCTGTGGAGGAGGCACTGAAAAAACTTGGGATTCAGGTTAAAGGTACCACTGAGCTGTGGCAAAGCTCATTTAATTGCAGTCCTATCTGTAGTGTGGTTAAGAGTCCTCCAGTGGAGCTTCACTTCTTGTTCTATATGTCTGTCTGCAGAAACTGGGCTCATTTGGGTGATTGAATGCCGTTGGAGCCAAAGTTCTTCCTCAAGGCTTTTTTCCCTCTCCTGTTTTATGGGAGTGTGTTGTTTGTGGAGTAGTTTATTGAGAAGCAGTCTTATGACTTCAAGCAATATGGTGAAGGCCAGAGTTTGTTCTACATACAGCAGTGCAGGATTTCTTTTGTTGTGTTGTTTTATTTTGTTTCAGAGGAATGCTGTGCCTTATCCTTGCATTCCCCAGACTAAAAAATCTGGGCTGTGACAAATAAGGGAATCCCTTTATGGGAAATGTGCCTTCTGTCAGTCATGGAGTTCAGTGCTGGTAGAAGATGCCAGAGAACCTCCGAGCTGATCTCTGTATTGAGAGCCTCTCTAAATTAAGAGATATGATGCACCGTGAGGAAACAGCGTTGTGTAATTTTGGTTGCAGTAAGGCCTTAGCTTAGTAACCATCCTGTAGCTATTTAAATGGAGCAAGTAAGTTGTAATCTAAGAGGGGAGACATGAACTGAACTTGCTTCCTAGCCTCGTGGTATTTAAGAAATGACCCTCTAGAGCATGTTGATAGAAGAAGTAACGTGCTTTTGCAGCAGTTCATTCTTGAGGTATCAAACAGGCCTATTTAGTACCATCAGCACTTAAATGACTGCAGTATTCCTAAGAACAATAGTCGTTCTTGTTCTTTGTAATCTTACATATAAATCTGTATTGGCTTTGCCAACCAATTCCTGTAATTTCATACAGTGGTGAATGCAGCTCATTCTTTCTATAACGGTACAACAACTCTGCCAATCTCTGATGAAGACAGAACTCCACGTAAAAGAATTAGCAAGACCTTAAATATGACTACAAGTCCTGAAGAAAAAAGAAAGATTATTGGTGACACGTTTGTTAAGGTAATGTATCTAGAATTCATGTGGAAAAAAAGAATCAAACGTTTTCTATCTCGGACTGCTTCATTCTGAAGCGCTGTGCACTCGGAAGCACGGTGTTGTGCAGGCTATGGATGACCTAATCCATTGGCAATCCATTGAGACCTTTGGACACTGAAAAGTTTTCTTTTCCATCTTACAGATTGCCAATGAAGTTATTGGAGAAATGAATCTGAAACCTGAAGAGGTTTTTCTTGCTCAGGGTACCCTCAGACCTGATCTCATTGAAAGCGCTTCCCTTGTTGCAAGTGGCAAAGCTGAAGTAATCAAAACTCATCACAATGACACAGAGCTGATTCGAAAGTTAAGAGAAGAGGTAAATGAAAATTTGGATACTGGTGTGTCCTTTTGATTATCACAAATGTGATGATGCTGAATGTGAAAGATGAGCAACTTATGTTTTGCTGATATAACTGGCCCATGTTGATGCATCTCGTGATGCTTGTGAGGCCCTTTAAGTTCTGTTTCAATATTGTAACTTATTGCACTTCTCTCTGGTTGCCATGTTCTCAAAGTGATCAGAATGGCTTCAGTATTGTCCAGCATTGAATATTAGTAAAAATGTCAACAGATTGAATCCATGCTGTTGCAGTGTGAACAGTGCTGCTCACAATTGTTACCTGAAAACGATTTCATTGCTCTTTTGTCTTTTAACACTTAAACCTATGAGGACTGTGTATGGAAGCAAAGCCAATACCAAACACCTGTAGCAGATGACTGCTGAAAGGCTTTTCAGACAGCTTTAGTCTGATTCAGGTGGAATTCATAATGTAATGGATTGCTTACTTCTCCCTTTGTGTCTCATTCTGAACATCAGTATGCAATGTTTTGTAATGGCATTGATCTCTCAGATTGCACATGATATGAATTCAGGCAACAGCAGCAATGTGCTTTTAGGTGAAATGATCATTAGTTCCTGTTGAGAGACATGACTGCAAGTCTTCTCAGTAGCACTGACCGCTACAGACATAGTATTCTCCTTTGGAAGAGAGTGAGAATTTGGAAAAATTTCTCATCAGAGGGAATGGCCAGGTACTGCAGGTGGGGGAGTCAAGAATTCAGGAATGGTAGAAATGAGGCACTTGGGGATGTAGTTCATTGGGGTGGGTTAATGGTTGGACTGGACCACCTTAGTGGTCTTTTCCAACCTTCATGATTCTGTGAATATGTTTTAGTGACTTGAGAACTAGGAGTAGATCTGTCAGGCTCTGATCTGAGGATCCGTTCTCTGTGCTCTTTCACGGCTTGTGCATCAAGTCAGTGGCCTGGTCGGCTGTCTGCCAGCAGTGTGCTGGTGGTGCACAATCTGTTTACCATTTGTCAACTTAAGAACCCACAGATCTTTTTGGAATATCCTGCTGCGGACACCTGTGGATAAAGACTGGGAGTTTAGAAATGGTACAAACACAGGAGATTGAACTGGTGACAGAAGACACTCTGAAGATGCAGCAGAGCCTTGTCTTTTTTATTGTACCCTTGGTTGGTTAGCTTAAACAAACCTATTCACAGTTCTCTGAGGTATTTTCAAAGCTTCTTGATCAGTATGAATTTTGGAAGACAGTCAGAACCAGACTGGCCTACGGTTGTATTTGCACTGCTTAAGCCATTGATACTTTTGGCACAAACAAACTTTGTCTTACCCCTCTCCTGTAACTGTTCTGCAAAGCCCACATTCACATGTACTTTTCTTTCCAGTGTTTATGCAAGTGTTGGCAGCTGATGCTGTGAAAAGCAGGCCACTCTGACTGCCTGTTACCTAAACATTTGAGGCTTTTTGTTTGAATATGTAAGCTAGAGTGTAAATCACTGTGGTTTTTCTTTTGTTCGTTTTTCTTTAAGGGTAAAGTTATAGAACCACTAAAAGACTTTCACAAAGATGAAGTTCGAGTGCTAGGAAGAGAGCTTGGACTTCCCGAAGAGCTGGTTTCAAGGCATCCCTTCCCAGGTACCAGAATCCGTGCTGCTTAGTGAAGGGCTGTGTGCATCAGTGTTGTTTGGAAGATACTTAATGTGCAGAATAAATTTGTGTTGGAGAATGGAACTTTCCTCTGAACACAGAACTAATGTGGTGGATTTTCTGAGGCTTTAGTTTAAGCACAGGATTTTCTTTGTGAGGAAATGAGTAATTGAGAGCAGCTTGATTTTATGCACAGTGCTTAAAATAACAGATTTATAATTGAGTTATCATAGAGAGCTGTATTTGTTTCTTCTTAATTTTGTAAGCCAAAGCAAGAATTATCAGTGAAGTGCAGCTGAATGCTGTCTCAGCTGTCAAATGTATCTTGCATGAAATGATGGCCATTGTCTGCCTGCCTTTCTAAGTGACTGTTGCTGTTTTGAAAACGACTGCATGGTGAATAACAACGGTTCTCAACCAGAAAACATCAAACTATGTAATGTAATAACAAAGTCCATCTTTTCAAGAGATGTGCTCTTTGTGTTTCTAAAATTGTCCTGCAGGGTGTGTAGTAGTCACAGTCAGAATGCCTAGGCTGCTCTGTTAATGCACCAGCACTGCATGAGGTTAATGACACTGTTCAGATGAACATCTGTAATTTGCTGAGAACTTTTGTGTCAAGTAGTTAGCAGGCCAAATAGCCTCCAGGGATCTCTTTAAAAAACAATCAGATTCAACTGTATGTTATAACCAACTCTGCCATCCAGGCTGCCTAGCAAAGGGAAGGAGGAGGTTACTGTTTGCTTTGGCTAGCCATCCAGCACGCTTCATCATCACTAATGCTGCCTTACACAAGCAGCCAATGCAAAATGTCAGTAACTAGTGCTTAAATGTACTGACCAGAAATACTGTTCCAGAATAAACTGCTGGCTTATTTCTTTGGCTTGTTTTGTTGAGTGTCAAGACAGCGTAAGTGGAGGTGTGGTGGCAAAGCATAGTCTACTTAATGACTGACCTGATGTTCCAGTGCTGTTGCTTCTTGAGTTGAAAGTCAACTTTTCATGTTATTTAGTGTGATGTATTTTTCAATTTTACGTTGCAGGTCCAGGTCTGGCAATCAGAGTGATATGTGCTGAGGAGCCTTATGTGTGCAAAGACTTCCCTGAAACAAACAACATCTTGAAAATAGTTGCGGATTTTTCTGCGAGTGTTAAGAAGGTATCAAAACTGTTGGGTTCTAACGTGTATAGAGGTAGTGTGATCCTTCTGTAGTGCATTGCTGTGAAGATTAAGATGCTAAAATTTAAAAATGACTGGTTTGTGTTCTTTGGGCATAATGCATTCCAGTCCAACTTGCTCAAAGCCATTTGGTACGGTACAGTAGAATTTTTCAAGTCCTGGCTATGGCAAGTGTTGAGTGACTTCTGTAAATTGGAAGCTTATGTACCTTTCAGATAGCAAATAAATCCTCTTTTAGTCAAAATTCGTGGAGATGAGGATTTCAGAAGATGATTTGAATTTCATAGTATCAGAAAAAAGATTTTCCCTATTTGGAATAGCTGTAATTTTCTAGGATGGCGTGTACTAACAGCCACCGAGTGCCTGAATTGAGGGTGCAAGAGTGAGGAGCCAGCATTTGCTGGATGTCCCAAACAGAATCCTGAAGTGATTGGTTGATGATGTGTAAGCTCTCAATCCTTGAACTGTTGGGACCTTCCTGGTTTCTCAAACTGACTCCTAAGCTCCAAACTGAGCTGCAGGGGGCTGAAAAGCCACCAGTAGAGAGCAGCAGGAAGTGCCGCGTCCAGAACAACTTCCAGAGCTTTTTTGAAGGAACACCAAAGGAAAAGCATCTGTAAGTGCTCTTCTTGAAAGTGTGTTGCGTTGCAGTGTAAGGTAACGCAGCATTGCTTTGTTCTGTGCTGAAATAAACAACAGGCATGAAAAATTCAGCTTTGGGAGAGAGAATGAACGCAGAAAAGCAGTTTCACCTATGGTCCTGGGAGGGCTTCAGTGTAAAATGCATACAGTTGCTTTCACTGAAACTTAGTTGTTACACAAAAGGTATTCTGTAATCAGTTCCCAAGGGTAAATGTGGACTATATTTGGCCAACCAGCTACTTAATTTTATTTATGTTGTGTCTGAATGTGTGGGGGCTTTAATTAGTTAAAAGTTATTTTTCTGCATCATTGCACAGCCACATACTTTGTTGCAAAGGGTCAAAGCGTGCACGACTGAAGAAGACCAGGAGAAACTGATGCAGATTACAAGCCTACATTCACTGAATGCCTTCTTGTTACCCATCAAAACTGTGGGAGTGCAGGTAAATTAATACATTCCAGGAATATTCTTAAAGCTGCTTCCTAGCAGTTGGCAGGCTGCTAGAAAGTGTAAGGATTGCTACTGTGATGTTGCTAAGAACTCTAGAAATCAACTTCAAAAGGCTGTGACTGCTATGTCTTGTGTCAGCTCTGGTAGAGTGCAGGTGTTGAGAGACCTGAATAGATACATGGGTATCATGCCAGGTGTCATATTTGAGGATGTCATTAAGGTTGAATAATGCTGGTTGCTTGCACAGGCAATTTCTTCTTGATGTTTATAGCCTTATAGATTCCAGTTGTACTCCTGTTGCTCCTTTCGAGGCTGAGCAGTCTTTCTTTGCATTATCATTATTGAATTACACCTTTACTTTTATTACTGGCTGCTTAACCTTGCATGTCTCTTCTGTAAGTCCTTGCAGTCAGCTTTTGTTATTACTTGCAATGGCAATATCATCAGCAGACTTCTGTACCTCATCACAAGCCTTCCTCAGATGGTGCCCTCAGAATATCAACATGTAATCAAGTCCCAGTGTTGTGGTCACCTTATGAATTCTGAATCCCTTCCTTTTATGTGCTCTTGCCAGCTCCCAAGAGACCTGTCTCACTTTGATGTTTTCTCCATTTACTTGATATCTCTGAGCATTCTGATTTCGACAGGTTTGTGTCCACTGAATGTTGACACAAAGGCTGGTCCTGTAACTGACATGGAAAAGCGGCGTGAAATATTTTGGTAGTGAAATTCGTATTCCATTCATTGCCAGGGTGACTGCCGCTCGTACAGCTACGTGTGTGGGATCTCCAGTAAGGATGCCCCACACTGGGAGTCCCTCATGTTTCTCGCCAGGCTCATACCTCGCATGTGCCACAACATCAACAGGTGAGTGTTCTCTGCTCAGTGCCAAGCTGCTCTTGTTTCTGATTTCTGATGCGTGGAAGCTTAGTGCCCTGCTGAATCTACGGTGTATTTTCTTGTGAACAAATGTGTATTATATGGAGGTTACAAATAATAAATCCAAGCTTGGGTTTATTTCTGGAAATACCAACTTGAAGTAATGGATAGTTTATCTCCTCATTTTAATCACTCAATTAGACAACTTCCAATGTAACTTAAATGTTTTCTGAAGAGTTCTGAGCCTGCTGCTGAGCTGTGGGATCACACGTTGTGTCAAGAAGGGGATTTGCGCGACTGTCAGCTCTAGAGCTGCAAGGAAGAGTTCCAAAGCTGGGTGGTTTTATCTTAATTGAGGTCTCTTGTGAATATGTGTTTTCTTCTCAAGTTGCTCAGAGATTAAGTCAGTTCTAGAAAATATGTATCCTTGCTCAGCTGTAGACTTTGACAAAGCTGCTTATAATTGCTTATAGCAAGACTTAATTTTGTCACTGAAGTGACACCCACTGGAAGAGCTACTGTACTTGGAGACATGTTGAATTACAAGATATTCTTCTAAATTATGTGCAGAGCAAATAAAAGAAGGCATGAATTCATGGCAGTGTGTGCTGGATGTACAGCATTGCTGTCTTTAAGCTGCTCTGGCTTTAATACTCCCCTCCTGAATATACTCCCACCCCAGGAGTTCTGCCATACCAGGGTGTGTTTCTGAGAGCTTTGGGTCGATGTTGATGGGGAGCTGGGGAAGCAGCAGCTGGAGGAGTGTGCTGGGGGCAGTTGGTGTCTGCCCAGCTGTGCACGCTTTTACTACAAACAGAGACACAATGTCAAGCATGGGTCCTGCCCTGCTTTGGATTTTTGACAAGTGTTCTTACTTTGTATCTACAAACTCAAATAACTTGTGTGCATTCATGATACACAGTAAATCCTTCTGTGAGGCCAGCTGGGCAATATTGCTTTTTGTTCTGCAGCATGTATAACGGTGAGATTAAAAAGATAAAGCTGATGTGATTGGTTTGAATTCGGAAGATACTTTATTACAAATGCAGTGAAATAGATTTGTAAACAGCAGTGTTAGTGCCCTGTTTTGAAAACACAGCTATTCCTTAACAAAGAAGGTTTCCTGTCGATGATATGGTGGTTTCCTAATGGACTGAAGATAGACATTTTAAGCACATAAGTAGCTTTCTTTGAATAGTCTTAACTTTTACTCACATCAAAGTAAAATTGAAAAGAAAAAAAAAAAGTCTTCTGTAATACCAGTGAGTTAGTGGTGAATTGGTACACCTGACTTGCAAAGCTAGCACACGTGTTGCCTTTACTGAATATATCCATTAAATTATAACAAGTTCTAGTTGGTGGCTAAGGAGCGAAACCAAATATTGGGTATTTTTTTGGTTCAGTTATTTTTTCTGCAATGCTAAAGATGTAGTCTTTAGGCAGTCTGTTACATTCCACTTCCAGAAAACGTGTTTTCCTACCATCTGGTTTGTTTTCCAGGGTTGTGTATGTGTTTGGTCCACCAGTCAAAGAGCCTCCCACTGATGTCACACCCACATTCCTGACAACAGGAGTCCTCAGCACTTTACGTCAAGCTGACTTTGAGGCTCACAACATTCTCAGGGAGTCTGGTAGGTATTTATGAGCCTTGTCCCATAGATGAAGCTGTTGTTTCAAGATCCCCATGCACCCATCCCTATAGGTGTGGTTACATAATGCGCAGTCACTCCATGGGCTTCTTGATTACGTCCAAAATTTATTGCTGAATGAGATGACAGGCTACTGCCTTTTCTTAAAGGTCTGGAGGTGGAGAGCTGAAAGGCAGGAACTGCTGGGCTTTCTGCTAGCAGAATTAGAGGTAGGGTTGCAGCTTTTTCATTCTTCATATGGCAGCTGGAGATAAACCTCACAGCTGGGTGCTGCTGCCTCGTCTGCTGCCTGTTGTCACACATGGGACTGTGGCTGGGACCATCCTTCTGGTAGGAGTGGGATTTGCTTCAGACACATTGCACAGCTCAGAGGCATGATACTTTGCTGCAGTGTGAACTCCTGCAAGAGCCACTATTAGCCAGCAGAAAGTCAAATTACTTGTTGCTGCTGATCTCAGTTATCAGTATCTGCCTGAAGTAGATGAAATGTGTAGAGAGACTTGGCGTGGTTTTGAAATCATGCTTGGTTGTGGAAGGGAGCTAACTGTTAAATCACCCTACCCTGTATTTGGTGTTATCTAGATTTCTTTGGTAATGGCTGATAGTATCTCAAAATGTAAGTTTTTTTGAATTTCTCTTTCTGAGAATTGCTCTTCATTACAGTGAATGTTGGAACAGACAGAATTGAATGCTTATGTTTTGTGGGTAGGAAGGAGATCTTAAGTTGCAAGTGCAGTCAGTTGCAGAGTTAACGGATTATCCAGTTCTGTTCTGCATGCCTGCAGGCCTTGAAGATTATTTCAAGTGGCAATTTGAGTAGTTTTAGTGTATGCACTGCTAATTACATAATTGGATAATCAGTGTGATCTTCTGAGGCCTGGTGGTGAAGTCCCAGAACTGCGGTGTTTCTTTCCATGTAAGTGGAGGAATCACATCTGAAATAAGTGTAGGCAATCCTGTAAAACTTCAGTCGTGCTTGTACTTCAAAACCAAACTGAAGCACTTGGTGCTGCTGTTTTCCTGAAGGCTATGCTGGAAAAATTAGCCAGATGCCAATAATCCTGACCCCGCTGCATTTCGATCGGGACCCGCTGCAGAAACAGCCGTCCTGCCAGAGATCCGTGGTCATCCGGACGTTTATTACGAGCGACTTCATGACTGGGATTGCAGCAACTCCTGGTAATGAGGTTCCAGAAGAGGTAATACGGACCTTCAAGTTCCTTTTCAGAGCTTGTGTTGTAGGTGACTTGTTCTAACTTTCTTCACTCTTGGTTTTTTTCCTGCTCTTGGTTAGGCACAATGTACTGTTGTGTTGCTTTGGAAAAAAACAGTAACAGAGAGAAGCTGACAGTGGTTTCAATGGGAATGACAGACTTGGAAGTTTTCCCATCAAAATAGCAGAGATTTTGAAGCTTTTGCCTGCATTGGTAATTGGAAGTTACCAATGCCTTCTGGAATTGCTTTGCTTCCCACTTTTATTTTACTGAAAGTGCTGCTTAACATCTCAAAACGTGCTGTTTCCAGATTAGGTCACTGGAAGATGTTTCAAGCACTTTTTCTAGGAAGCTTCATCGGTGTCCAGCCTGGAGTGCTTTGTCTCTGATGGAGCTAACATTAATTGATTACTCTGGAGAACAGCTGCCAATGGGCAGTCTTTCCATTAGATGCTTCCTTCTGCTATTTTTTAACCTTCACAGCTCCCTTTTCTTGTTTGAATAGTTCATCATTTCTATCAGGCTGCTGCTTTCTGTTTGATTGTGGGTCAGCTGGAGGTGCTGGTCTGAGATGTCTGCAAGTGATTGACAGCAGAGCAGCACAGTAAAACGTAACCTCAAAAAAATCATTCTGAAGCTGAAGAGCTGCTGCCTTAAGGGAAGTGTGTTGCGATTGCTGCTCAGTTCTATTGCCAGTGCCAGAAATCAGCAGGTTCCAAATACAGCTGCAAATATTGAGAAGCTGGGAGTTTTCCTTTGTTGTTTTTACTTCTTAATTGGTTGTCATATGCTAGGAGCTGTAGGATTTTTCTCTCCTGTTTATAGAACAGAATGAACAGTGTTTTCCTTGTATAACTCTTTCTTAGGGTAGTTTTCGTCACGTCTGTTCTATGTGCTTTTTACAGATCTGTTTATTTCCCCCCTACAGGTTGTATTAAAAATGGTGGCAGAGATAAAGAAGATTCCTGGCATTTCTCGGGTGATGTATGACTTGACATCAAAGCCACCAGGAACTACGGAGTGGGAGTAAATAACTTTTTTTTACTGAAGTACTGTGTGCAGTCTAAATCATATCAGAAACCATTCCCAGTGTTGACATGCAGTACTGTGAAAGAGTGACTGGAGCTGCTGCATCCCATCTGACTCCTCTCCTGGAGCGCAGGGCGGCGGTGACGAGCAGTGCAGGGATAACAGAGTGGGGCTGAGGATTTGTACGGGTAAACGATGGCGGCGTTGCCTGTGTGCAGACAGATTCCCATTGCTTTGGCCTTTGTCTTACTGATTCTTCCCATTCCCACGTGTTCCAGTTGTTAACTGTCATTTCGACTTGTCTTTGGTTTTGTACACTGTGTAAAAAGAGACAGCTTATTTACTTCTACCAAAAGCATTGTTACAGCCTAAAAATGTAAAATGAATTCTTTGTGACCAACTGCTTTTGAACAAATTTATTATAAATAAATATTTTGCCAAATGGAGTAGTGGGTATTGCTGAGTTGTGGAATTAACGTGTATCTGTTGTGTGCTGTTAGGCCTGTTTCTAGATTGTTTGACCTGTAAGCCCGTGGCAATAACATTGAGTCCCAAAAGAGCAATGCTGAAGTGTTATGAGATGACCTTCTGCCTGCCTGCCTGTCCTCACTCCCTCTTGCATCGCCTGGTCGGTGTGTTGGTTGGTGACAGGCATGTCCCCATCACACGCTGTGTCTGTGGAAATGTCACATCCCTGCGAGGTGTCTGTGTGCTTCTGGGGCCTCGGAGAGGAGTAAAAGCAGGAGTGCAGCTCTAAAAGCTGTGGCACCAGAGCTCCAGGATGGCCGAATCCTGGTTCTGGTCTCCAACCCTTATGCAATAGTCCCTTCACAGCCTGCTGCTGCCCATGTGCTTACGTTATACTTGATGATAGTTTGTTTTCTTCACATTAGCTTTCACAGGATTATTATTATTATTTTTTTAATGTAATGTATTCAGCTTGTTTTTTAAAATCCTTATAGTCATTAGTGTGGAGTCACAGTATTGGAGTGGCTTACCCAACCAGTATAGATTATTTCCATCGTGTATACTCTGCTGTTTCTGTAGTTAAGCAATAATTTAAGAGGTGTTTATCTTGGACACCTGTGCTTTCCTGATACATCAAGGCAGAGCTGTCTCCATCCACCTGAGAGGGCTGAGCATGTCCTGCAGATGCTGTCTGTGGAGTTGCAGGTTCTGTAGCAGCTCTGAGCTGAGCAGCTTGCTGGATAACTGCCCATGGAACTGCTGCTGTGTGCTCCCAGTCAGCCCTGCCATCCATTTCTTGTAGCTGAATGGAAGGCAACTGTTCAAGTTCTATGTGGGCAAAACAGTTGCTCTCAACTGTTCAGGAGCATGGGGTTCATGGCTGTAGCTACTTATATTTCTGCTTACACAGATCAATGAACTGGAATAATGGTTGAAAGTGTTCTGTTTTGTTTGGTTGCACATTGTGTGTTCCTATTATTTCTGCATTTACTGCCTACGCATTATGGAAATTTAGTTTAACTCCAGCTTACAGGACGTGGCTAATATGTAAACTTCTGATTTCTGCCTGTATTCCTGAGCAGCTGCATTTCCTCTGGAGGCGGCGTGCAGCAGCCCCTGCACTCTGAGGCCACTCCTGCTGCAGTGGCCGTGAGCTGCCCTGCACTTGCGCCTCACATGGGGCTTGGGTGAACAGATCCTAACTGCTGTGCATCTCAGCTGCCTCCTTCTGAGCTGGTGTAGTACTTGTAACTGCACTCATCGTCACCTTGGTGAGCTTTATGCTATGTGGACATAATTGTACATGTTAACTCATGCTCTTTTGCTACTGGGCTGTGATCTGTACAAGCTGGTGATCACAGGGCTGTGTATCAGTGGTTGCTGTGGCAGAATCTATTGCTACAGCGTGGGTTCTGTTGAAAGCAAACCTAATTTTTTAGTGTATCATATTTCAAACAACAGCTCCCTGATAAACTGACAGCCTTAGAGTACACTTCAATTTTTAGTCTGAAAGACCTGAGGATAGTTTTCATTGTTGCGTTGGTATCTCTTAGGTAAATGGTGAGATGACAATAAAATCTCCCTGGTGTGCTGCAGAAGTACTTCAGCCTCTGAATGCTGTAGCAGTTGCTTGTTATTAGTAGGCTTGCTCTTGCTGCCACTGCTACGTTGTCAGTTACCTTGACAGCAAATAGACAAAACAGAAGGAATCACTAAAAAGTAGGGAATATTGAGCATTTCTCATATCCCAAACCTCCCCAGTTTTGAGTGAGACACTTCTAGCTGGTCTCCTGGAAACAAACTGCAGTGTGGTTACAAAGCAGCTGGTGAGGTGTGGGTGACAACGGCCACGATGTGCATCAGGACTGGTGTGTTGGTGCCTCGTGATGTGTCCCCAGCACACCAGGATGGGAATCTTGTGTTTGCTGCGTGCTGTGGACTGGGAAGTGCTTCCATCTTCCATCTGCACTGGAGGTGTAAGGTGTTCCTGCACACTGTGTGTATGCTGAAGTTGGGCATCCACTTTAAACATCTTCTCATCATGTTGGTCTGTGAAATGGAGCTTGGCAGCAATTCCTGTGCTCTTTTAGAAATCTTCTTTCTTGTTTCTCTTTGTTTTTTAAACCAGAAAGGTGAATATTGAAATGTCTAGGCATAAACTATTGCACTATAATCGAAAGGTCTTACGGAAACGAAGTTTGTGATCTTTCGCTATCTTCCCCTGTTGACACCTGTGCCATGCATTGTAGGAGTGGGTTGTTCTTAGGAAGGTCAGTGGTGTTATCCCAGCAGTTCTGTGTGTATAGGACAGTCAGAAGTGGAGAGGAACGTAAATACTCTGTTCACTTTCTTAAAATCCTACATTTAGCACATAGTTTACAATCTAATATCTGTAGCTGCCCTGTACAGTTGTTCACCTCAAGTCTTCAGTAAAACATGTCAGCAGTTAGAGGAATTTGTATTGGGGGCATTCCCCACCATTCTCAATTTTTAACATTTTTTCTGCTTGTGAAATGATAAAGTACTGTGAGCCTTAATTTTTATCCACAAATAAAAATGTTATGTTTGAACACCGGTGTGATGTGTTTCCTAGGGCTGCTCGGGGCCCATCCCTTCTGGGCTGCAGCCCTGTGTGTGGGTGAGGTGGTGTCCATGGCTGTCCCTTCTGCATCCCCACGAGGCTCTGTGCTGCTGCCTCCTGCTTGTGTTGGTGCTGGGATAGAGGTAACTCATTCCTGAGATGCGTGGGATTCGAGGCTGTGTGTAGGTTCCTGCTCTACAAAGAAAAAGGCAATTGTGGAAATAGAGCAGTGCAGTCTGAGGCTGTGCAGAGCTGCCCTTCTTTGCAGGAGTGTGCATGTGTGCTGCTTGTATCTGTGCCAGATGGCCGAGCTGTGCTCCAGCACCCACAGTCCTGGTGGGAGCACTGCTGGGCTGTGCCTGCTGCTGCTGGGGGGCTCTGGGAGCTGCCACCCCTCGGCTGCTGCTGCATTGCAGCCCGTTGGGCCAAGCTGCGTTTTGTGGCCAATTTGAATGTGATGCAGGCCGTTCAGTCACTTGGCCCTTTGCTTTCGGGGCTGTCCCCATTCTGGTGATGCATTCCTTAATTGCTGGCTGCTCCTGGTGCTCAGTGATCCCGCTTGAGGACTGCCAGGTGAAAAAGGCATTAATTAACATCACCTGCATTTCTTTGTGCTCGGGTGCGATGTTTGGCTCTGGGCTGACTGCTAAAAATTCCACGAGAAGATAAAAGACTGCAGGGAGCTGCTTCCTCATCAGGTTAATTGCAGCAGACGGACTCGCTGAGAGAGGAGCGTCAGTGCTGGATGTGTGCAGTGTGCAGCCATGCCAGGTGGGTGATGAACAACAGCACCCATTAGCCTCTGCTGCTTCTAATTGCACTAATTGCACTGCCTTTGGCCCACGTGTGACAGCCTGTGCTAACCACAGAAGCATTGAGGCTGGAAAGAACAGTTCCCCACCCCCGCCTGCTCGCTGCCCACATCTTTGAGTGCCACCAGGGACTGTCACCCCACCAGTGCCTGTGCCAGTGCCCAGCTTGTCCTTAGATAAGGAATATTTTCTAATATCCAACCTGAAAGATGTACCTCCAGTGTAGTATTAAGACTCCAACATGGCCATGCAGCTCTTTCTGGGCCTGCAATGGGCAGCACAAACAGGAATTCTCTGACACATCTGCCTTGTTCTCCAGAGAGCTGGGTGCAACCTGGGCTGGGGATGCTGTGCTCCTGGGCTGGGCGCAGGGCCTGCTGAACTGCTGCTGGTTGCACAGGGGAGGCACTCAACCAATTAAGCACCTGATGAATCTTTCCCTGATGGGGTTCTAATTACCTTAGGTAGAGGACAGGGTGAAGAGAGATTGCTGTTAGCCTAAAGGCTATCACTTAGGCTTTTGCTAATTGGACCCTGCATTTGAAAATTACTTGGCTCCTATGGGATGAAATCTATATGTTGCTTAGCTATCACTTACAGATATTTTCCAGCTCAACCTGTGCCTGTGCAAGGCTTGAGTTTTTCTGCTAAAAACCTCTAGGCAGGACCTTGCAGTAAGTGCTGCCCATGTGTCCTGCTTAGGATATCCCTGTATGCAGGGAGGTCCTGGGGATGTGCACCTAGCTGGACAATTTGGGGCAGTGCTGGTGGTGAACGTAGCTTGGGGTCTGAAATGCAGGGATTCATTTTAAGAGAGTCTTAAGTGGGTGAACTTAAAGCAAATTTTGCTGTAACTGCTAGAGAATTGGTAGATCAGAATTTGCATTCCTGTGTTTTGGAATGGGGCAGAAGAGATCTCTTGTGAGGGGACGTGCAGGTGGGGCTGAGCAGCCCAGGCTGGCACAGAATGGTTCGAGAGATACAAAAAGCAAAACGAAAAGGAAAACACTTCTAAATGCAAACTGTGTGGAGTGCATTAATTCACCATGGAAACCTAATGCTCTTCTGAGCAGAAAGCATCTATTGGAGTCTGTTAGAAATGATTCTCTTATTTACATCTGAAAAGTACTAGGGATGAGTAAAGTGGTGTCTGAGCCAGAGGAAAATGCAGGTTGGGTGTTAGGAAAATAATATTCTCTGAAAGAGCAGTGATGCAGTGGCACAGCTGCCCGGGGAACGCTGCAGTCACTGTCCCAGGAGGTGCTCCAGAGCTGCAGGGACGCAGCACTGAGGGACGTGGGCAGGGGGGTGAGCTGAGGATGGGTTGGGGGTCTTGGAGGTCATTTCCAGCCCTCACAGCTCTTAAAAATTACTGCTGTGCACCTGTCAGGTGGACAAGGAGTGTTAGGGGAATGTTCTGCTTTCAGACTAGCAGCACACTGCTTGTTCCTACTGGCCATCCTGCACCCCAGCATGGGACCGCTTGCTTCACCAATGACTGCCTGGACCTTGCTGCACTGCTGCCCATGCCAGGCTCACAGCCGTGCAGCTCAGCGCTGGGCACGCAGCACCAGCAGTGTTAACCTGTGTCAGAGTGACTGCGTGATGCTGGCACGGGGGGCTCACCCAGCTCAGCTCCCAGTGCCCATCAATGTTTAATGGCAGCTGAGCGGCTTGGCTTGCAGGCAAGCGATCCTGCTGCATGTTTTATAGGGCGAGTGGGCAGCTCCGGTGGCATTACCGACCCGTGGCACGTGGTGGGATGTGCACTGTCACAGGTCTGCTGTGAGACAAACAATGCTCCGTTAGGGAGGAACAAATAGCGAGCAGGTGCTTTAATGTGGTTACCTCTGTGCTGACTGATCCCTGCTCAGGGCCTTTGTTTGGGAACAGCTGCATGGTGCTGTGGTTGGGTGAGTGGTAAACACAAAAAGCTGGTTGAGCTCACTGTGTTTATGCAAATATTTCAGAACTTCGTTTTGCTTTTCATAGAATCTATTATAGAACCACAGAATGGTTTGTGTTGGAAGGACTTCTGGTGCCCATCAGTCCAGCCCCCTGCCATGCACAGGGACACCCACAGCTCCGTCAGGTGCTCAGAGCCCCACGGCCTAACCATGGCTGTCTGCAGGGGTGGGGCACCCACCCCCCTGAGCAAAGCTGGATTTTGGTAGGCAGCTCCCAGGTGGAAGAACTCAAACAATTGTATGAAGCCTGGAAGACATCTGTGCAAGGAGTGTGTACTGCCTGAGTGGCTCGGGGCTGGCTTAGAGGCTCCTGGAGCTGCTGGAAGCTTCTCCCTTTTTGGGAAATGCTATAAAATGTACTGACGTGGGATAGCACTGTAGAACTGCAACGTATTTAACATCCTAAGTGCCCTTAGAGTGCTTTTGTCCTCCCTCTTTCCCCAAACACAGGGCTGGTCGTGCTCCTGCATGCCCGGTGTGGTTTGTTCCATGACCCTTTATTTCGAGGCAGAAGAAAGCATGTTCAGCTCGAGCATCCCTTCCTGAGCAGATCTTCTTCAAGCACCACTCCCTCCACAAACAAATCAATTGGTGAGAGCCCCAGTTTTGCTCTCCTCTGCAGGGCAGCCACGGCCGCACAGCTGGAGGCCGCTTTGGGGCGAGGACCACACTGTGCCGTGCAGCCCATGGGCACAACGGTGTGCCTTTCAGCCCCTGCAGGACGCCATACAGATGTTTCCACGCAGAGGTCGCAGCTCCCCTTTCGGGTTAAGCTCTGCGGCCACGTATCTAATTACGGCTCTGAGCTGGCAGAGGGTTATAGAGGGAGGACGGTGCGTGCCGCAAATCAGTTTAAATGATTTGAGGGCAGCAACTGCGCTCAGGGTCGGACGCAGCAATGCTGGCGGCACGCACGGGAACCGTGGGCAACAAGAGCGCGGAGGAAGCGCTGAAGCTGAGGAAGCAGTCGGTGCTGTCCCTGGGCAGCAGGGAGCGAGCCTCGCGTGGCAGTGCTGAGGGCACCAAGGAGGCGCGGGCAAAGCTGGCGGCGCAGCAGCGGGCACGGCGCCTGGCACTGCTGCGGGAGCTGGAGATGAGCTGGTACCTGCGTGGCTGTGAGCTCTCACACGAGCACACCGTCGCCTACACCACCGGCATGCCGCACAGGTAGGGCAGCTCGCGGCGCGACAGCCGTGCTGCTGATAGCAGCTGCGATGGGAGCCCACGGCAGCGATAGCCGCACCAACATCGCAGCGATAGCCGCGGCCGTGGCGATACTGATAACGGCTGCTATAGCCATAGCAACGCTTGTGTCAACTATGATAAGAATAGAAGGGTCTTGGCTCCGGGATTCTGACATTTCCAACTGTTGGGGGCTTGTTATCCCTGGATTGTGGTGAACTGAAATTGCTGACCTTTTCACAGCCTCCTTTCCCAGCTCCCAAGTTCCTCGTCCAAACCCACCTGTGATAATTTGGGCACTTTTCTGGTAGCTGCTGTTTCCAGGTGGCTGTGGTTGCATCTGAGTGGGGCTCGGAAGCAGGTGTGTGAGATGGTGTGGGTAACAGGGGAACACAAAAGGAAAGTGGTATATAACCACGAGAGGTGGAGAAAGCAGCAATTCAGCGTGAAGCTATCAAACCGCTTGCAAAGGAAACCCAAACAACTCTGCAAGCTGAGACCAAGTGGTGGTGGCTGCTCTGTGGCACCATAAGGTCACAGGCATGGGGATAGCTTCTGGGAAAGGTGAATTCCTCATGATACTGAGTTGTGCTGGCCTCTGCGGCCCTAAACCAGAGAAAATGTGATGTCTGAAAACAGCAGGGTGGCTTGTGGGAATATTTCTTTGCCTTTGGTTCATCTTGCTTTATAGATGGATCCAACAGGAGGTAAAACTGACAGGTTTGATATAGGAGCTTGGACGGGGTGGAAGGATGGATTCCTACATGCCCTGGCATTGTGGTGTGGGGAGGGGAGGACGGGTAACCCACATTTCCATGCACAACTCCTGTCTGTGACATTGAATTATAATCTTTTAAAATATGTTTTCTTTTTTAGCTCAGCCCTTGTTTATCTGCTTTGAAAGCTTTAAGGATTAGCTGAGTGCATGATATATCCATCACTTGATTATTTAACTGATATTTCAGATGTATTTGGGATTGAGAGGAGAGCCAGGAGGTGGGCTGAGTGTTTAAAATGTAAGAGCCCAGGAAACCTGCATCCTGTGCTGCATCCTGTGCTGCATCCTGAGCAGCTTCCCTGACCAAGGCATTGCTAGGTCTGCTCTGACCTGGAAGCTCTGCTGGTGCCCCCAAGCCTTGCACTGTTTCTCCCTTCCCCCTGGGGATGCAGGATGTTTCTGTACTGCATGCACTTAAGAGAAACAGCTGCAGGCTCTGGGAACTCAGATCCCAGCCTTAAAGCCTGTGTGTTGGGTCAGAGGATAATGCAGCACTCAATACAGGCTCAGTATTTCCCCTGTCTGCTTGGGTTATTTGTCTCTGTGGGGCTTTGGCTGCCTTGTTCCCCTGCATCTGCTTATACACAGCATCCTTTTGGGCCTTTGAAACGTAGCAGTGGAAGTTACAGAGCACTTAACCTGGGTTGTGACATTTTACATCAAGGTAGGTGAGCCCATCAGGTTTGAAGGAGCCATGTAGGAGACGCTTGCAGCACTCATCTCTCCAGCCAAGGCCTCAAATAAACCCTGTGAGAATATTCTTTTTGACGTTTGTTGGCCTTGGGTGGAATCCCAAACAAATATTTCCCATTCTCTAAATATAAGACCTGGGAAACAGGGTCGGCACTCCGTTCCCACTGGCAGCCCTCGCCCCTCGGAGTGCTCTCCCGTTATTGGCAGCACTGCGCTCCCAGCCGGAGCCCACTTGAGTTGGAGTGCTCCCCTTACAACAACACAAAGGCAAGTGCTGCTGCACGGTGTGGGGCCATGCACTTGTACAAGCCTTCCTGTGCTGACATCCCAACCCACAAGCCGGCCCTGCAGAAAGCCAGCGAAGCACCGCTGCGGGGCAAAAAGCCGAGCGTGGCCCCCAGAGACCATCCTACAGCTGGGGCAGGGAGAGCGAGTGGGGCCAGCGAGCGGAGGCAGCTGGAGAGGTTCCTCCACCTCCACGGGCTGTCACTGCACGAGAGCGTCCAGGCGCAGGCGGGGATGGTGTACAGGTATGGGCAGAGTCCGCGTGCTGGGGCTGGCCGAGCTGTGGGCAGGGGCTGCCTGCGTCCTTGAGCCTCTGCGGGCGGGTTGCTGAGACCCAGGAGATGCTGTAGTGGCCGTTCTCTGCTGTTTGAATGCTGCAAGAAGTTTGCACGGCCTTGAGGAATGGAAAGTGCATGGGGGTGGCTTTAATCCCTGCGGGTGCTCGGGCTGGGCTGGACGGGGTCCTGAGCAGCCTGAGCTGCCCCATGCCTGGGGTTCTGCTCTCAGCTCCGGCTCTGTCACCCTGTGTGCACCTTGGCAGCTTGGCTTATGGGCTGCTCTTCATCCATCTTCAGCCTTTAACGAGATGGAATAAAGCACTGCAATACAGTTAATTTCTGCTGAAGATGATGGATTCCAGCAAATCCGTTCTCCTGAGTCCATGCATTTTTCACGGCTGACAGAAGCAGCCACGATATGTTGCACTTCACACAGCCCAGCCCCAGCAGAAGGAATGCTCTGCAGGACCATGTAGAACCTCTGGCGTATGCTGTGGTGGTTCTTGTTGTTACGTGGGTCTTCTGATGCCTATTTTCTAAAGATTTCTGTCCCACTTTGGGCCAAGGCCCGTTGTGTAAACGCTTCTCTTTCCCAGCATGGCTCAGTCACCTCCCAGAGTTTTGTCCCGTATCTGTAGGTCTGATCTAAAGACAGCATGATTAAAAAAAAAAAAAAAGAAAAAAGAAAAACTTTTTAATGAAGAGCTACTTAATTAATTGTGATAAACAAAAGAACTGTTAATAAGAAACGCTGCCTAAATGCTCATAAGCCGGTTTGTTTATAGGGTGATTAGTTCCTTTCCCTTTCATTGCTTCAGCAAACGCAGCTTAGTTCAGCCTGTTACAGAACAACAGGCAGAGCAGCAGTGCATCTCATGGCTTTGTTGCTGGCACCAGCAGCATTGCTCTCAGGCAATAGCAGCACTGCTCTCAGATGGAGCATGGCTGCTGCTGGCTTCAGAGCACAGCTATGTTGTGCTCACTGGATGTACCTCACAGCACTGACATCTTCCCCATCCTGGTGCAGACCGATGGCTGTGCCCGTGCCCAGCTGTGCCCTTTGTTCACTGCCAGCTGTCCTTTCTGTTAAGTGATTTCTCCTTCTGAACTATGGCTCTCTAGTGCAAGGCAGGTATTCCCATGCCCAGCCGTTTTCCAAATGATTTCTCTTTCCTCTTGCTGCTTATGGTTCACGTTATTTTTGTACAGCTTTCCGCATGAATGGATGGAGGTGGGCAAAGAGCAGCTGTGTGCAGCTCGGTGGTCAGGGGACCCACGGTGTGCATGGTGTGGGGCCTCCTCCCAGCACAGCAGGGCAGGGATCTCCTGTTCCCAGCAAGTTGCCAAATGCACACCCATGCTCTTGCACACGTGTGCACACATAGTTTCCTGTGAAGTAATCTACTCTGAAGCCTCTGAGCTCCCCTCAGCAAGCACATCTGTTCCCATCATCGGTAGCAAAGCCATTTGCTCACCTGCTTCTGCTCTCAGAGCACGCAGCATCTCCAGCACTGTGCCGTGGCGCTGGCAGAGTGGGATTGTTTGCAGAGCTCCCAGTGTGTTTTAAATGCCCCTTTCCAGCCCCCAGAATGCAGCTCTGTGACCCACTTTGCACACAGGGATGTTTCCTCATAATCGATTCCAGTCTGTGAGCCTCCGATCATTATCAGTGAATGATCAGCCCTGGATTCCTGAGCAGGGTGTGTGATGTCCCGGGGAGATATGAGGAGAAGATGTGATGGGGAATAGGATGCCAAGCAAAATGTCCGTGACAAAAAGCATCGCTCCTAAACCTACAGGCATCAGCAGATGGCTGCAGGGTCCGCATGCTGGGGGAAGGCAGCAGTGATGGAGCTGAGCAGGGATGCTCTGCACCCCGTGAAAATGCACTTTTTATTCCTTGTTTCTCCCTGTGCTGTGGTGCTGGTGCTTGGGCCAAAGGCTGCAAAGGGGATTTGGTTCCCTCCTGCAGCTCTGGTGCCTGCTGTCTCCTGATAAGCTCTGCTGAATTTTCTGTGCTGGTTTCATTGTCGCTTGGCTCCATCCCCATTCTGGATAGACCTGGGTAGCTGCAGCCGTGCAGGCACTGTCCTCTGCAGGGGAGCCCTGCACTCCTTGTGGGTGACACTGCAGCACCTCGAGGGCTGTCCTCAGTTCAGGGTCCAAAAATGTGAAGTACCTTTGTAGGATGCTCTGCAAGAAAAAGGAAATATTCTTCCCAAAGGACCTTCATGGCAGGGGGGGGGGAGGTAGGAGTGCCAATCACCCCGCTGCTGCACCAGTTCCATGCGCTGACCACAGCAGATGCCCCCGGTACTTTGGGAGTGCTTTCTCTCAGTTGCAGTGCTCCGTCTCTGTCAGGCAGCACAAGGGCTGTGGGGCAAAGTGCCTCAGCCTGCTTCGTGGGATGGCAGGAGAAGCATGAAAGCTGGGAAAAATCTCTCTTTGGGAAGGACATATTTTAGCAGTGCTTACTATACGTTATTGGTTTAAGCAAAATTGCCACAGGTGGAACGTGAAGGGTGCAGCTCCAGCAGTGCTGCGGCTCCTGCAGGGGATGCCCTGTGGGCTGGTGCTGGGCACCGTGCTCTGGGCTGCCCCCCACCCGCTGCCATGCAGGGAGCTGCTTTCAGCATCCAAGCCTCACCTCTTAGAACATATTTCTTTACAGAACTTTATTTAGAGAAATGAGCTGCTACAAACTGCAGTCGGGCGGTGTTTGACGTGTATGGATAGCAGAATAATGTACGTAATTGCCTAAATTTACTATTCAATAAGCAGAGACGAGTTGGAAATACACAGCTTGGGCTGAGCTGCATTTGGAATAAATGTATTAATCACTATGCAAGGAACCTTGGGAAGACTGCGTTGTCTGCGCGGTGCAGTGTGTGGCATAACAGAGAAGTGTTGGCTCAGTGCACGTTGCTCGGTGCACACTGCTTGGTGCACGCTGCTGGCCTCGTGCTCCCTTCCTCACCCTGCCTGTGTTGTTGCACGCTACAACAGCACTGAGATTGAGGGGTGCAAGCATCCTCTGGGCTCATAATGGGGGAAACCCTGACCTGCCCTTGGATGGAGTGGTGCTGCAGTCAGCATTGGGCTGGGCCCAGGCTGGGAGAGGGTTGAGAACGGGCAGCTGTTCCCCTTCCGTGATACTTAAAGTCTGTTCTATAGGGTGAACTTACACAGCTGGGCATCCTGCTAGCATCCTGCTCTGATCTGATTAGAATAACCCCAAATACTCTATTTTCATGATAGTTTTGATATGTTTATTGCTTGTTCCCGCCGCAGGGGAATGATAACTCAAGCTTGGGCTATTCCCTGTGACACAACATTTGTCATCTCCCCTCCTTGGTGTTGCCTTTGCTGTGGTACATCCCTGCAGGGTCAGCCCAATTCCCACTGCTGTCCTGCTACCTCGCCATGCTTGCACAGGAGTGATGAAGGGAGGTGTAATGGAGCTTCTCCATCAGCAGGCAGCCCAGCAGGAAGCCTGGTTGTTTTCTGCACTGAGATAGAGCAGAACTGCACACACTGCGTTCATAGCCAAAGCTTCTGAGGCACAATTTATGTTGGGATGTGCGGTGAGGATTCACCACGGGTGTCCTGCTGGGCTCAGGGCACATTACCTGCTGCAGCCCCGATGCTGAGGTTTGAGTGGTGTGTGGGGATGGCTCCACGGAGGCAGCGGGGTCTGCAGTGAGCCCCAGCTGGCACCGGGATGGGGCACAGGTTGGGTGGGCTCTGCAGCTCCCGCAGCTGTGCCTTGGGACAGGACTGTGCCTATATGGCAGTGGTGGGGGAACGTCTGTCCTGCAGAGCTTTCTGAGGTTAATCCCTGCCAGGTTCCTCCTCTCTGTTGTTTGCTGCTTTCTTCTCAGTGGTGCTGCCTGATCTGCAGCCTGCATGCTGCAGAAGCCCTGTGGCGCTGGGCAGCCGAGCTCACCGGATGCCTTTTCCCTGCCAGCAGCAGAAGGAAAGCTGCAAATGTAGCAGCGGCGATGGTCACAGAGCAGAGCAGCGTGAGGAGCTTAAGGGCTGCTCTGTGCCGAGTAGGAAGGCTGGATGCTGGCTCTGCCTCTATGCAGAGCATTGCTGCGGCCGAGCAGTTCTCCAAAGCTGCTCTGGAGCTGCCCAGGCGCTGTGCGCAGTGCAGGAGCTATCCAAGCAGAGCTGGGGGAACCGGGGGAAAGCAGAGGGGGAAAAAAAAAGGCTGCTTGGGAGCGAGCAGAAAAGCAGCTCCGATTTCCCCTGTAATGTCACACAGAGCTATGCAGCTGTGCAGCACTGAGCTGTGGCACACTGATCACCCGGGCTGTGAAATGGAAGCTCGGTGCCTGCAGCGCAGGGTGATAACGAGCGAGGAGTTGTTCTCCCCTCCCATATGATAGATACGCAGGCACAACTTCAATAAAATATAGCTAAACTGGGAATAACTTCCTGTCTTGTTGAAGAGGCTATGAGCAGAGAAACTTTGCCGAGGGGCTCATGTGCCATTGGTGGGGCCGGTCTCCTCCATGTCACTGCCTTCTCCTGGCAGTGAAGGGTTTCGGCTAAAGCGCTTAAAGCAGCTGAGGTGGCATTGTTATCGGTGACCTGGATTGGGTCTGCACAGCTCTGGGTTCCTGCAGCCAGCAGCCAGCTGAGCTCTTACAGCAGCCATCCTGAGAGCCCACCTCAGGCCCAAAATACATTTGGGTTGTGCTTTAAAAGCTGTGTTAGGCTGCTCAGTGTGTTTGCATAACGATTAAAAGCATAACAGCATAACATTTCCATTTTCTTGGTTAACGTGCAACACTTCATGTCTGTGTGGAGCTACAGGGGGAAGAGGGCACTGCTTTGAGGTTTTTTAAAACTAAAGCTGGTGACTTTACACCAAAAGAGGTATCCCACATTTTAAGTGCAAGAACAGTCTCACCAGGAGTTGTTGCTTTTGGGGCTGAGTGGCTGGAAAACTGTGCTGTGGA